TGTATCACGCATGGCACATAACTGACTGAAGGGCTTGTTTACTTCCAGCGCTGATAAGCATAACATTATGCACGCCTCTACAATGCACCAACGTGTAAACATCGTTTGCTGGCGGGGATAAGCAGTGTCAAATGATCAACGATGGCGGGGTCAGCTAGTCGTGGTGACATAATGTTGAAAAGTACGAAAAATTAAACGAACCCAGAGTTGGTCTAAAGTCACTGATAATGCACCTAAGGGCATCATTGCGGTGTATATTAAATAAAGGCATTACGGAATAAAACAACAACAACAACAACAACAAAAACAGGAAATATCATATAACATAATTAATAACTTCCGTCTTTATTTGTCATCAAAAAATAAAATACAGTTTATTATATTATTATTTGCAATGAGTTGTTGTCGCTTATCAGGCAACTCAATGATTCATTTTAAATAAAATTCCGAAGGTTTTCATGTGAAATACAAATAGAAAATGCATTCAGCAAATACACAAAAATAGAAAGACGTGTAAGACAAGGATGTGTCTTCTCACCGAACTTATTCAACCTATACAGTGAAGCAATACTGACAACTAGGTGTCCTACCAGGATTCATTATTGGCGGTCAAAATCTTAACAACTTATGATATGCAAATAACATAGTGTTGATAGCACATACATCAAGGAAACTACAAAATTCCTACCGAAGGTAGTGAAAGAAAGCGAGATGAAAGGACTAAACAGCAATTTTAAGAAGGCAGGAAGTATGCTTGTTAGCAAAAGGAAGAGCCGAACATATAAATTAGAAAATGGAGATACCAAAATCAAACAAGTACTAAAATTTCAATATCAGTGAAGTGTTTTAAGAGACGACGGAAAGTATAACACCGAAATCGGAAGACGCATTGCGATAGAAAAAGTATTAAGAGACAAAAAAGTATTAAGAGACAAAAAAGTATTAAGAGACAAAAAAGGTCGTTAGAAACAAAGAAAATATTTCTGAACTGTTACATTTTCCTCCTTTATGGCATTGAATGCTGGACAATCTCCTCAAAGATGAAGAAGATAATTGAAGCAACAAAAATGTTGTTCTAGAGGAGAATGGTGAGGATGCCATGTCTGTCATACGAATAGATCGACATTTCAGATGTACAGGTAGTGTAGCGATTACCAGCATAGAAAGTGGAATTCGCGAACCGCGTTTGTTTTCCGGTCGAGTTCGTTTACTTTTGCCAGCCTTCCGTTGAGAAAGGATATGGATCAATTACTTCTCTCTCTCTCTCTCTCTCTCTCTCTCTCTCTCTCTCTCTCTCTCTCAACACCAGCTATAGAATAAAGGGTAAACTAGGCTCTCTAGCCTTGGCTGGCCACTAGTCTAGGGGAAGGATCATTCTAAAGCCAGCGACAACTGCACCCCGTGAAATGCCTATATGTTACGGGAGCCACAACATCAACACTAGCGTAGCGAGTCTCTAGACAAAGCGTGGTAAAGCTGTAGGTCTATACTCCAGATAGAATGAGAAGGACTCAGCTTCTATAAATTTTAATTTCTGTTTGCTACTTTTTCAGATCCCATGCAAGGTCATGTATCGTTGTTACGTTTTAAGTCATCAAGTGTAGAGTTATAAATCATTTTGTTTGAATTGATCGCTGATAAGAGATGATTCTGAATAGGAAAAAATTAAATACAGATAGTAGAAAGATTTACATAAATAAAAAGTACAGATAGTAGAAAGATTTACATGAATAAAATCGTTTACATGCAACAGCGTACCTTGAGCGTTTCTTTCAAATGTATGATTAGCTTTTGATGGTCAGGGGGAAAAATAAGAATCGTCAGATTGTCGCATTGTTGCACCATTTGGCCATATTTGATGAGATATCATTCTTTTTATGTGCCATGTCCTTTCAGGACGTAGGCGATCATGGCTCTCCACCTCTTTCGATCACTTGCGTCTCTCAGCAAGTTTCTTCCCTCTGCATCCTCCCTTAGACAACGTTCTGTCACCCACCTGCTCAAGCTCGTCAGGTGTGTCACGCGCTACATTCGCTTGTCTCTGTTTCCCTCTATTCAACTCGTGAGTCTCAGATTCTCCAGGCCCTCCTTCCTCATTATGAGTCCCAGAAACTTCATCTGCCTCTTTCTGATGTATAAGTATAAGCTTCCTCCTTGTTTTCATCTTCTTTAAGACCTCATCGTTGTTCACACGCTAGGTCCATGATATCCTCATCATCCTTCTGTAGAACCACATCTCCATCGCCTCGAGTCTCTTCTTTAGCTTTGAGGAAATCGTCCAACATTCGCTGCCCTAAAGAAGAACAGATGTCACGTAACAGCTCAGTATTTTTCTTCTTTGTTGCTGAAGACATACTCCTGTCTCGCAATACTCTGCTCAGTTTTTGGAATGTGTTTTAGCAAAGTAGGTAGTGTAGTAATTTTAAATCTGTAGATACAAGGGAGTTTCCTCAAACAAGAGATAAAAATAAATATACAAATAATTACGTTCATTTAACAACATATTTTATTGCCTTAGCAAACTAAATAAAATGAATATAAAAGGGGTGAATGAAGTTTGTGCGCGAGCGTATTTGGTGAGAGAGAGAGAGAGAGAGAGAGCGATATCCTTTTTCGTACGTATGTGCAATGTTCTGATGAAAGCCTGTGAAATACTTACATTTCGGGAAAGTTCTTTGTTGATTTGGTAGAATTAATCGGTTCTGACAGGGAATCTCGACTGCAGTCACTTTCTCACCGACGTGACGTGGCTTCCCTCTGTCTTTTCTACAAATATTTTCATGGCAATTGCTCTAATGAGCCTTTTCCCCCTGGTACCTCGACTACGTGAATTTAAGCGTGCTACTAAGATTGGCGACTAGGTCTCACCGTTTTTACTGTTGAACTAGCTAGATGCAACCGCCACATCTACTCTAACAATTTCTTTTCTCGCACTTCTCACCCGTGGGACTCCCTTCCGATTTCTTGCTTCCCTGATAACTACAATCTTAAAAACTTAAATGCAGCGTCAATCACCATTTTCTGTCTTCTTGAACCATTTTTTTTTTTTTGTCCTTTCCTCAATCCTCCCCATTCTCGTTCAATCCTTGTAATACACAGTTTTAGTGGCGTTACCACCTTGCTTGGGGTGAAACGATTAAAAAAACATGCTTGTGTGTAGTCAAGTATGCTTAGTATCTATTGTGTTCAATGCGGCATTAGATTCGCTGAGGACTGAAAAGTCCCTTGGTAGGGAAACGAGACACGTCTTGTCACTAATGCATCCTGTGGCTAAAGTAAATAGAAAAGTTTGAGACAATGTGTCCTTTTCTTAATTACTTTATTTAACGCTATATATTTTAAGGTTATGCTTTTGAGTATTTTTCTGATTGGCGAAAAATAATTTTTTATTATTTGTGCATGAGACAAAGTCTTCAGTACTTCTGTTAGTCTTTGGGATACAGTTTGATTTCTTTAAGGAATTGTAGGATATTATATAGATTAATATCATGAAAGAATTCTTTCATATTGGTTGGTTGATTTTATTTAGTGGCATATCAACACCTCTATGGGTTATTTAATGCCGAAGTCTAAGGAATTTGAATGCAATTGTATACCTTTAACTACAGATAAAATATCTTGCTGATCCTTATTGCTGCTATTTTACTATAAAAATATATTTTGTACTTTCATAGTGGTTTCTTTTGGTTTTGTTTCACTATTTCCCATAGCTGGGACCCTAACAGGGGCTATCACCACGGGTAGGGGTAAACCTGGGAGCAACTGCAATTAAGAGGTACTTCCACGCTCCTGAAAACCTCCAATCTCCCGATGAGATTGCTGTCGGATGGAGTTTATCGTCATACCCAGGACTACGTCGTTTCTTCATCTGTCCAGTATTCATTATCATATAGGAGCAGTTAGCACTTTTTCTTTGTATTTACCGCCATTTTCCTGTTTCTTAATATGTTGTTTAGTTTTTGGAAGACATCTTTTGCTATGTTTTTATTTTCCATCGTCTATTATTACACCTCTCAGTTAAACCTCTGCATCTGCCTGATTTTATGTTCCAGAAATTTTAACTGATTCGAAGTACAAGCGACCCTTTTGTTTTCATTTTTCTTAAAAGTTCCCTTCTTGCTCAGCCCATAGTTTTCTCAACAACTTTCTGTCAAACCACGTTACTGTTACCTTAATTCTCTTCGGTGATCAGATGGTCTAAGATTCACTATCATATAAGAGTAATGATTGTTTATTTATTATTCTTGCTAGTACCCGTTCTGCTAGCTAGTTGTACAAGTTCGTTAGGTAGGATTCTCTCTGTTCCCCTTGTCTTCAGTATCTCATATGGGTGTCTAATTTTCCAAGTCCTCTTTCCTAATGTGTCACAGGAATTTATATTGTCTCCCTCAGATTCTAAGTACAAATGTTCTTTTTGTTTACATTTTCCTTAAAACTTCCTCATTAGCCACATATAACTTCTATGGTATTCTCATCATCTTTCTGTAGAACAACATCTTTGTTGCTTCAGTTCTTCTCATCAACTGTTGATGGAACTTATTGATTCGTTTTCTACGACTTATCAACCCTTTTCAACTTATTTAAAACCAGAAATATTTTTTTTAGATTGCAAAAATATTTTTGGAGATAATAATGATTTAGTGACACAAGTCTTACTAATTAACCCGTAGCTGGGGGAGAAGAGGTGGATTCGTACCTTACTTCAACATTGCTTACATCATAGAAAAAAAAGTTGTTTTGTAGAGTCTTGATCACCCACGTCCTGAAGATTGATCTATTCATTTTCTACAACTTATCAACCATTTTTTTTTTTAGATAATAATGGTTTAATGATACAAGTCTTACTAATTAACCCATATCTGGGGGAGAAGAGGTGGATTCATAGCTTTCTCAATATTATTTGCGTATAAGTGAATATAATGAACCCATATGGAACTGGAACTCAGCTCTCCAATTAACAATTCCTAGCCATTATCAATTACACCATCCTCACATCCATGCTTACAGCACCTGGTATTCCCAAACAGTCACCCACTTAGGTACTAACGAGGTTCAACGTTGCTTAACTTCGTTTATCGTATAAGAACCGGTGTTTCAAAGCAATATGGCCGTAAGTCCCATCAATTGTAAGGAAATTATCCAGCATTCGCTGCCATGTAGGAAAGTATGAATTCTCTAGCGGTACAAGTTTCTTTTCTTTGTTTGTACCATAATTTGTCTGCTTCATAATAAGGTGTTTAGGCTTTAGAAGACATCTTTCGCTATTTCAAATGGGTCTTCGGTGTCACATCATCCGCTTTCCTAGATATTTGAATTTCTGTATTTGCTAAATTTTGGCGTCTCCAGTTCATAGCTCGCATCTTTCTCTTGCTCATGACCATTTATTCTGTTTTGTTACAATTGATAGTTAGTCCTTTCTTCCCGTCTTCCTTTACTACCTTATCAATGCTCGCATGTTCCGTCTATGGTTTTCTCAGCATCGTTCAATATAATCACATCATTGTTGCTCAATTTTATTCTTAATCTGTGAGGAAACAAAATACCTACCTCTCAAGATATTTATATCAGTCTTGTAGGCTTTCGGCCAACTCATTTTCTGGCTTGACTTTGTCAAGTTGAATAATCGTATAATAACTGATGCGTGTTGTTTTTCTGTTCTCTCTATAAGTTTTGTTGTTTGCGCGTTGTTGAATATTGCTGTCACATCTGGTCTGGTATTTAGAGATGTATTTAGAGATTCTTGATAAAAGACAAAGAAGAACCTGCAATGTTATTGGTTCTGACCTAGTATCTCGGCTTCAGTCACTTTCCCACCGCTGTAACTTAGTTTCCCTGTTTCTTTTCTATAAACACTTTCATGCTAATTGTTCTGATGAAATTTCCTCTATGGTACAAATTATGCTTATAAGAACTAGTTAGGACTCCATAGAGACCTTGGGGTATTATGGTGACTGTAGAAAGAATAGTGAGTAAGAATGTTTTATTTTGGTGTAAGGAATACTGCAGTATGTTTGGATCAGTAATTGTGGCTAGCTAAGTTTAAGATAAGACAGATTGAAGACAAGCCTTCCCCCATCCCCCTTGTGCCACACTTTTGTATTAAAACAAAATAAATATTGCTTTCCTGTATGGTACCTTAAACTTAATCGCAGTACTAGATTGGCAGCATGATCATATCATTTTATAGTTGAAATGATTAGATATAACCGTAAGTTCTATGCTAACAGTTTCTTCTATCGCACTTCTCGCTTGTGGAACTCTCATCCGGCTTCTTGCATTCAAGTCAACTTTAATCTTTAAAAATTTAAATGCAATGTTAATCGTTATCTTCGGTCTTCTTAATTACAAGAATAATTTTCTATTTACAACATTCCAAAAATTAATACAATTAAAACTAATGCAATGCAAAATTTATCATTTACCAGTTTATAAAGAAATAAATATGAAAACAATTTTTTTTATTCATAAGTTTATATATATTTACTAAATTATAAAAATATGTGAATAACCTATAAAGAAATCCCTATTATTTACCATTTTATAAAGTTCGAATCGATTGGTTATTAGCAGATGTTTTGCGAAAAGTTTCAATAAACAATTTAATAAATAGTTTTTATTATTTTTGTTGTAAATTCTCAAGAACAAAGAAAATGTAAAAATTCACTTTCATATGTTTAGGTTTTATTAAAATTTTCATCTTCATTTGTTAAAACAATAAACATCGCCGAGAAGTGAAGGTAGTTAAAATAATAGCGGTGTCAAAGGAAAAGGCGTCCTTTTGACACGTTTTTCTTACGGACACAATGTTTAAACATTGCTAAAAGTTCTTTTTAATAAGTAACATTTGAACACGGGATTTCGTTTCACACATTACTGAAATTAATGACATCTAGATATATTAAGAAAGATTTCAACGCCACTTTTTATGCGATTTGTGTGGGGATTGTAAATTTCAAATGTTTTTGGTTAAGAGTGAAAATAGAGGAAAAGAAGATGCATTTTCGTTTTTGATGTTTTTTAATCTCTGGAAATCAGAAAAAATCTGTAGAAAGAAGGAAAGAGATATGTGCCGTTTATAGAAATGGAGCCTTAGCTGAGAGTAGCTTTCGTAAATGTTTCGTTTGATTCTGAACTAGAACTGTTCCAGCAGGGTTGCAATCGTTGATGACGATCAACTCGAAATGCTATTTTAAAATACTAAAGGTCTCGCAACACAGGGCATCACAAAGATACATCTCGTATATGATATGATCGTTGTAAGATATTTGACATCACTTACTTGAATCATCAATATATTTGAAAGCTATACGTGAATCGCTATTATATTTTCCTACGGTTTAACTGAAAAAGAAACAATGGACCACATTTCCATCTACGATTCTATGGTCAAACCCAACAAAACGACTTTAAAAAAAACAAAACAAAAAGCGATCACGAGCGATGAAAAATGGATTATTTACAACATTGTGGAGCGAAAAATATACTGCAGAAAACGAAATGAAATACTATTCACTGAAGATGTTGTGTAACTTATAGGATTGAAATGCCATTGTATCTGTTGTGTTGTCTTCTCTCTAATGAGGCTATTGTGGACTTTTCCACTTACTATAAAGTTAGTAGAAAAAGTAAGTATTGTGAGACCGGAAACTACCTACACAATAGACTCTTCCAGGCCTATATTAACTAGGCGACATAGCACTCTAGAGAGTATTATAGTAAGCTCTGCTTACACTATCTCTGTAACCTGTTGTTAATATATCTTTCTTACATCTAATCAGTGTTCCGTGTTTTACTTCTGTGGTCCCAACTTTGGCCCCACATCAGTAAGCCTCGGACGAACAGTGATAAAGACTGAACGCTGGTCAATCGACACATACTCCCGAGTCGTGTTACACACTTCTGTTGTATTTACTGTTCAATACACGATCTATTTGCAACCTCTTGTTTTGTTATTCCTTAACCATTTACTTGGTCACAACAGTATCACGAGATCCTTTCGCAAAATCGGACGTTGTATTCAGTCAAGTACCGTTCTTAATAGCACTGAATAAATGTAGCAATCGATGAAAACGTTCAGTATTAGCCAACTGGAAGAGTGTCGTCTTTTATAAGGACAGTGTCAGACCTTACGTTTATTTACAGACCCGGCAGAAATTAGTGCAGCTTGGCAAGGATGTCCTAAAATAACCGCTGTAAACCATCAGTTATTTCGACCCTACAAAATTCTCTTGCTGGGAGAAAAATTAAATTCTGCGGTAGCCTATAAAACTACTTAGACCGGAGTTGATGACGTAGAAAAATGCCAAATTCTAGAATGAAATCATGAAGTTGCATCAAAGATGGTGAAAGATAGTGAAACATATTGGCATATATATGATTGAGTATGTGCAAATATCTAAATATTGTCTTGAAATTCACTTTGAAAAAATGCTGGGAACTTTTATTCTGACAAAGTACATAAAAGGTGATGAAAATATGATGCTAACTGAAACACCCGAAGCGTCATCTGCTGTTGCTAATTCAGTTATAAAACAAACCAATTATTATTGCTAATTCAATTATAAAACAAACCAAGTTACGAGTTCAGTTATACAACAATTCAAGGACGAACAACTGCAAAGGTACATTCGTTTTTAATGGAAATTGAATATTATCTGTAGAAGTGTATATTCTCGCATAGTCACTTGGTGATATATCATGTCACAAAAACATTTGTTACCTCCTTGAAGGACGGAATTTGATAACAAACGTCATTCAAAATACGTCCTCTAAATACTGAGATACATTCACAGCGATATGCTAGATTGAATGAATATCAATTTTTTTTTCAGTAGATATAAGATCTCTGCCAGATCCTAGCTGATAAATTTTCGAAATTGATACTAGCTTCATTAACTAAAACCCCAGTTACGAGACATACACATCCAGTATATATATAGAGAGAGGAGGCACGGTGGAGTAATGGATAGCGGCTTGAATTGAGGAATAGGAGAGCCGAGTTCGAATTTCAGTCGACTCCATTACATTCACTTACGTGCTTATACCATTGGGAAAGGTGTGAATCCTCTTCTCTCTCCAGCTATGGGTAAATAACAGGACAGACTTAGATGGCAACTGGTCTAGAAGGACAGCTCTGAATTTAAAACCTGCGGAGGGTCGTTTCGGGACCTTGCACCAGGTCTCTGTATTCGGCCCTTCAAAAAGTGTGGATGGTCCTGCACCACTATAATCAAATCTCATGTTCTGCTGTCGGTCTTTTGGTTTCCTAGGAACTGATCTGTTTGACCCTCATACGTCGAATTCGACGGGAGAGTCGAATATATATATATATATATATATATATATATATATATATAATAAAATGAACATTGAATTCAACACTCAGAAGCGACAGGCTGTTTCATGCTAGACGCATTCATCAGGCCGCCTGACCATTGCGTCCAGCATAAAACTGAGTGTTGACTTCAATGTTCACTTTTATATTTATATTTACATATCTCTGATATTGAGCACTTTATCCCAGAAATATAACACACTTTAAAACTATATTTCTTCATATATATATATATATATATATATACACACACACACACATATATATATAGTGTGTGTGTGTGTCTGTTTGCGCGTGTGCGTTTCATTGAATAATATAGACATATTATGCTTATTCATTTTTAGAATAAATCCTAAAAAAATCTCATAAGTACTAATATTTCCCACTGATACCAGTAAAAAAATTGCATCTAATTAAATACTATACTAAATTTAATCCAACTTAATCATCCGCAATAACTCTTCTCCGTCAGCTAGAGTTTCGGAAAAGACCAACATTGTATATCAGTTTAAATGTCCTTTGGGAGATTGTATCTCTGACAAAAAAAAAAAAAATAAGTACATATGTTGGTTTGACGAACAGAACATTATCAAGACGTCTTACACTTCATTTGACGGATACGAATTTTATTGCAATACATTTAAAAACACATTCCTGTCCTCCTTCACAATACAGAAAATACTTGTTGACAACACCAATATACTACACCATGAAGATAAAAAAAGCTTCAAATTTCCGTGGCTCTCTATATCAAAAGCAACCAACCAACACTGAACAAAA